ATTATTGTTTGTAAACATAAAAGAATAACCTTCCCTACATAGTAGCACTTGACTTATGAGGGAAAAGGTCATTTGTGGATAGTAATAGACGTTTTGTAATGTTATGACACTTTTTTCTTGTATATTCTTTGGGATTTTGATACACATAGATCCAGCTTGATTAAGAGTCATTGTTGACCTATTTACAATAGTTACAATTGTAGGAGTTATGTTGTGTACATTCGTTAATTGAAATAGATAAGGAGTAGCATGTATTGATGCACCAGAATCAAGTAAATCCATTGTTTGTGTATAGGATTTCTCATTAGCTATGATTGTATTTGTAAATACATTGGTACATACCCAGGAAACATATTGTTCGAATTGTTTGTCCTGGTTGCTCAGAATAAGAGTGTAGGCATTATTGTTCATTTCAACATTGCCTTCTTTTAATTCAACATTGTTTTCGTTTGGGTTTTCAATAATAAATGTGTTTGTTGTGTTTTCTACAGTTTGATTTGTTTTATACACAATGTTAGCCTGATGTTTGGTGTGTGCAAGCTTTGTAGCTTTAGTAGGAGGTTTGCAGCATTCCTTAGAGAAATGTCCTGTTTTTCTGTAATTGAAACATTTTGCTTTTGTTGGATTGAACAGATTTGGCAGATTGAATTTCCTCTGCTTATTGGCTTTATACATTGTATTAATGTGTGCATTATTCTTTGTCCAATCATTGGAATCTTGTACTTGTTTAGTACAGTAATTGTTGTAGGCATTCTGCAATACAAGGATTAGTTACTTCAGTTTGACTTTCTTATGTTCATTGACTGGTTTGCCTTTGTTTTGGGCATCAGTAGATTGTATTATTATATTTACTATGTGTGTATATTGCTCAGGAGTGGCAAGCAATATTGCTGCTTTGTATGTAGAGTTGTGTGGTGGATCACTGTTAGCAGACAGAGTTGCATATGCTTCCTCAAGTCTGTCTAATGTATGTCTGAAATGTTTTACATGGTCTCTACAAATAAACAGTGCCAATTTGTCAATAGCCTTTTTACATGCTGTCTGGGGGTTAAAGCATTCTTCAAGCACTTTCATTAACTGAGGGATAGACGTATCAAAGTGTATATAGTTTGCTAATATTGTGTCAGCAATGTTATTGACTATGCATACATGAATAGCCTTAGCCATCTCCCTCTCAGCTTCATTCTGTGGTTTATCCTTTAGTAAGTGTTTGAAGCACATAGCTGTGACACTAGAAACAATGCAGTAGTACCACATCTTGTAGTTTGCTTCAGTCTTAAGCATTGTAATGTTTTGACCAAAGTATTTAGGTACATTGGCTGGTTTACAGTGTGTATCTGTACATGGGGGAACCATGATGCAAATGTGTGCAAATGTATGCAAGTAAAGAGTTTAGAGTGTACAGTGGATGCGTGTATGCAGGGAGCTCAAGGCTCATAACCTGTTGAGAGGGAGAACTTAAGGGGGGCACACATAGACAAGGGGTGAGGTGACAATTGACTGCTCAGTGTCTCTCGTCCTTATATTGTATGTATTCTAACTGAGACATTATGAAGTCATCGTCTCGTGGTTCGTCCGTTGATGAACTAATCATCTCATAATAAAATACCAATTCCGCAGAGGCTCAAATGCATTAACATCACCAGGGGCACTCCAGTCAGACCCGAGGCAACCAGGCTGGACGAGCACCACTTTCTATTGCTCAAGGCGAACAAGTATAGGGTGTTTTATGACAACAAGCTCGTTGCCAAGCTCGGCACTGCGTGGAGTGTCATACAGGATAGCAAATAATGGTTCGTTGAGCTTACAAGACTGTTCAATCATAACTCTGACTAGCGTTAACTAGACGAGGCATCTTGGTAAACTCCTGGGCTTGTGTATGTAGCGTATTTGTTGGCAGAGAGAAGCTGAAGGTGGTATAATAGCATTGTTTTTACGGTAGAAAGAGAGGCGCTCGGTTAAACAAACGTAGATGTCCGACAACTAGTGCTCCCCTTCCTCAAGATCGCCCTGTATGTCACGAATCTGTGTATTCCCTTTGTGTAAACTATAAAGGTTTATTACAAGCAATCACTTTCTGGTAGAGCAGTGCTGCTCTATTGACGCTTGAGCCTATCGCCTCGCTGCCACGACATGCTACCTGCAACAGGCTGGAGAGTGGGTAAAGTTGTGTATTTAAGTGCTGTACGGACGGGACATTTTCACATCAGCAGTGGGTCCTTTGCGGTTAAGGCATGCGACTCATTGAATGATTTGACAGGCTCTACAGACCTATGTCTTCAATTGATTTGCTCAATGCTACACAAAATATCTATCGGAAGAAAATACAGATTACCAAATGGACCATGTCGTGTGCCATTCGAAACATACCCAATTGTACACAACAAACCACAACTATGGCACCTCATAAATTAGCTCTCGACGTCGGTGACACCCTTCCCGAAGCAGGAGCACTCGCAACAGGCGTCCCAGCTAATGACGACGCAATACTACTCGCCTCATCTGACGCAGGCGGCACAGGTACATCACCAAGCGGATCCTTCAAGTAATCTCGCAAGAAATTCCGCCATGGTGCCTTGGACGGAACGAAATGCCCTCCATCATGCGTGGCAACCACGCGATGTGCAGAAACGTCGATGAGTGTGCGCACGCGCTCCAGTGGAATAATGACGTCGTTTATTCCGAAGATGTGTAGGGTTGGGGTTGCGTAGTCTGGAATGAAGAATCGGGACCAGTGGGGATCGTTTGGCTTGAAGCCGGAGACTGCGACGCAGAACTTGCTGTGTGGGAGGATGAGTTAAAAGTTGGTATGGATGGGCTAGCTTCAAGCAAAAATGGCAGTTAAGAACGTACAATGCAGGATGTGGGGGCTGGTCATCTACAAGGATTGGCGGGTACAATTCAGGTTTTTCTAGCTGAGCTTGCTTAAGACCAGACCCGATGGAGTCGAGTGTCAAAATTTGACTTACCACGGCTGTAATTAAAGCCGCCATAGCTGCTCCTTGGCTGAATCCGAACACTCCCTAGTCAACATCAGATTCTCGTCAGTCACTAAATCGTTTAACCTCATGTTATTAGCATACCTCGAACTTGTCCTTAGCTAGGATATCACGCAGCACGCTTAAAGATTCTTCTACACCAGCATATATAGTCCTTTCGGGGTTTGATCTGAACCACCCTCGAGGTAACTCTGCAGGATTCGGTTCGGGTGTTGTTGTATTTGCTTCCGATGCGCCGAGGGCATCAGTGTTGAGTCCAGCGAGGTCCACTGGTTGTAAGACGTGCGGAGCGTCGACGAATACTATTGATTGAGAATGTTTAATCTTATGATTGTAATTTAAATTGATAAGGGATATTTTATTTACCAAAGTCGATATCCTTCCCACAAGCTTTGCGCACTGCACCCATCTGTGTGAGTAGGTCAGGATATTACTCAGTCGGAATAGTTATTGATGAGAGTTGTTCTGACTCGTTTAGAGAAGATCGCAGCATTCTGCGAATATCTGTCCACAGCATCAAAACGAGAATAAAATAACCAGAGACTAACGGAAGAACATACCCATGCAACATTAGAACTTTCTTTGCCGCCATACTAAATTTGGCTCTTATAATGGTGGAGACAGCCAGGGTCTCCTCTATTTCTCTAAGTGATAAGTCTAAGTTACGCCTCGTTCGTGATGGCAACACGCTGAGGAGGATGATCGACGCGTTGCATGACATGAAGACGTGTCCGCCGCGACTCACTCACAAAACATTCCTTCATTCTATTCACCGTCATGCGCACCGACGCGATTTGTCGGCTCCTTCTTCAGCTCCTGGTCATACTTCCTCTCGGTGTTCTCGCAGCAAAAGACAAGAAAAAAGACAAGGGTGCCAAAAATGTCACCATTGACAGAGTGCGTGTGTGCTGGCAACTTCCGTCTTTGCTTGTATCATGGACGTTATGTTAAAGATGGTTTCTTGGGATTAGCTTGTCAACCTTCGAACACACTCTATTTACGCGCCATATATTGATCAGGATTTGCAAAATCGATGGTGGGATTTTGGGGCGGATGCTATCGTGGTATGTGTTGGTGATGCATGGAACATGCTGTGTATGTCTGACCCTTGACGCAGAATACGAACAAACATATTCGATTGACGAGAAATAAACCATCACAAATGGTATGGAATTGCCAGCAATCAGTCACGAAAACACACACTAAGTGCTTCGTTAGGGATGGTTATGGTCGCGTTTACCACTCACGGCAACTCACTATGTGATTGAAGTAGAGTTCAAGGTTCGAGCCTCTAAATACTCTGGACGCGTAAAAAAAACTAACTGGTTGTCCCCTGACTCTACTTATTAAGATGTCCACTGAAGGGAAATCACATCTTTTTGGTGATGGAATGGCGATTTGGTTGACAAAGACACGAGCGCAACCAGGTCCAGTGTTTGGGTCGGTCGGTAAGTGTCCATTGTTTGAGCGTAACGATTTTCGATAGCTAATTCACAGCAGATAAGTTTACGGGTCTCGGTATCTTCCTAGACACGTGAGTATTATGATGCTATGGCATTTTGGTATTTGTTGAAGTAGTGTTCAGATATGCAAACTCTCGGCATGCATACTCCTTCCCTCGAGTGGTCGCGATGATGGGTGATGGCGAGACGAACTATGATTATGAGCAGGATGGGGAGAGAACTAACATCGGGGCATGCTCTGTATGTCGTTTCTTTAATTATAGAGTAAGACCTTGCTAATCACCCATTAGGCTAACTTCCGGAAAACAAATGTACCTACAAAGGTGAAGATAACTTATGCGAAGGATACATCCTTAGATGTTAAAGTCCAGTACAAAGCTCGTATGTGTGCTAGCTCCCAGGTGTTGTTCCCGAACTAAAATACTTGGTTACAGACGACCAGTGGGAAGACTGCATCCATATCGATGATATTTCAATACCACTTGCGTCGTATCTGGGATTCTCAGCACTGACAGGAGATGTGTTCGAGGCTCATGAGTGAGTGTAATCTATCTTAGGCTTAATACCTGTCTTGTTAATCGTCGGCGATTGCTTTACCAGTATTATTTCAGTGACAACCTCTTCGGCCATCCTCGCGGACCCGGAACGTCCACGCGACAAGTTCAAAACGTCTTCAAGTACATCATCTGGCTCATGGTTCGGCTTCTTTATCAAATCCTTCCTGTTCATTGGTGTCTGTGTTGGTGCGCTTTACGGATATCAGGAATATACGCGCAGAAATAGTGGATTTGGCGGAAGTAGCTTTGGACGGAGAGGAGGGATCGATGTGTTCTCTAGTGCGAAGCGGTTCTGATATCATCGTCCAGTTTATTGCTTTGTCGTAATTCAACTTGCATTTTTTTTTAAAAACTTTTTTTTTTTGAGTTTGGAAAAATAAGAAAATTGCACTAGCCAAACAGAGGTAAATAGACACGTCACGTTTCGAGCTGTACGTGTTCCTCGCCTGCCTGCACCGTCAAGTCAAGCACGCACCAGTCACTTGCTCACTGCCAACCAAGTTGTTCACGCTATACGCTCGCGTCTGCAACCGACCTTGACGAGGCAGAGTAGCTACGCGCGAGGAACGCTGTAGCTAGCATGAATATCTTTCGTTTCTTCGGTGAGCTCCGTTGCTTACTTTTGTGGACGTTTGGAATGACGCATTTCCTGAATGTTGCCACGAATGTGAAAAATTAGGTGACCTTTCGCATTTGGCGTCGATTGCTATTTTACTGCATAAAATACAGACGTCGCGATCATGCCGGGGTATGTGTCGTCTCGTCCACTACAAAGAGAGAAGCATGTGCTGACTGGTGCATGATTTTGTGCATAGGCATCTCGTTCAAAACGCAGGCACTCTACGTCGTTGTATTCATTACGCGCTACCTTGACCTCTTCCTCGGCGACTATGTCTCATTGTACAACACCCTCATGAAACTCTTCTTCATCGGGAGCAGCTGTTACATCTTATATCTCATGAAAATGCGCTTCAGGTGAGCCCCTGGCCTTTCCGCCACGCACAAGCATATCTACACATAAAAGTATATATACTCATGCACAAGTCCACTCGTCATGGCCATCTCCTTTCTCTTGCGTCGAACCGTTCACGTACGGGCACCACACGAATGTCGACGTGACAGACCTACACACGACCCGTCAATCGACACCTTCCGCATCGAGTTCCTCGTCGGCCCCGCATTCCTCCTCGCGCTCATCTTCCACTACAAATTCACATTCGTCGAAGTCCTCTGGTCGTTCTCCATCTTCCTCGAAAGTGTCGCGATCCTCCCGCAACTGTTCATGCTCCAACGTACGGGCGAGGCAGAAACGATCACGACACATTACCTCGCTGCCCTTGGCGCCTACCGCGGACTGTACATCCCGAATTGGATTTACAGGTATTTCACGGAGGGATCGGTGGATGCTATAGCTGTCGTTGCGGGACTTGTGCAGACGGGATTATACCTCGATTTCTTTTATATCTATTTCACAAAGTGCGTTCGTTATATCGCTAGCTTGCTTTGCTTCGTTTTACTTCCTATTATTGCTTGTTCATTTATTGACAACACGTGTTTATTTTCCACAGAGTCCTGCATGGACAGAAATTCGAGTTACCTGCATAAGACGCATACAGCAAGTGTATATCGTAGAGAAGCGCCAGGTGCCGCTGCTCACGCGATGTATACTCCCACTCCCCTCCCCCCTCGCATTTGTCCTCTCTCCTCCCCCTATCACCATCGAACTTCTCGCTATGATATATACAAGCTTTGGGTTGCGACCGCATGCGTATAACGTAACTATTGATTGTTTTGTTCATGCATGTGTACGTCGACTCCGCTTTACTTATCGCGTGTGTGGCGGCGTGGCGATGTTTGCAATAGACATAAGACAATTATTTTTTAATGGAAGGCTGGGTTGTCACTCTGCTCTACTTTGAGCTTGTTAGTGAGTATTAATGTGGGTAGCACAACCTCTTCTCGCCATCTCGGATTAATATCCTGGTCTCTATTTGTGGAGGGTTTATTTTGGTTTGGTTGTGCCACGTCTCGCGATACGACTGTGTATTCTATAATCTATTTTTGTTGTTTGGTCTAAGAATGGCACCGCAGCACTCCGGCGTCAAGGTTAAAATTACAAGACACTGGGCTGACATTTTCTCTCTTGTCTTTCTAATAAGTATCATCCCACTGTCCTGCATCACTTACGAAAAAATGGGTAGGAAATGTCGGATTTGTGACTTAGACTTTGTGAAGGTCTTGATACTAGTATACTATAATACAGTATAGGCCTGGAACAATCTCAAGGCCACGTGCCTGAGACTCAGTGAATCGAACGAACGGAATTTGTCTATTAAACCCGATATCTGTGTACGTTATATGTCTTGCTCGACAATCAAGTATATTGCTCCACTGGGCTGAGTTTTGTTAACGAACCATCGGATAAATGGCGTCTATCACTGTATTGGCGTCTACTACTGTATAAATTCATTGGCGTCTATCACTGTATCGGCGCATCGCAACTAAACTGAAGCAGAATTTCCTATCAAACGCATGGATGAACTTACGCAAACGGTAAGCTTTGCTTGGATCTGGTAGAGTGATGATCAACAGATGTAATTTGAAATTGGTCAATGTTTGTTTGCGAGATTGATGGGCAAACAGAGTGGGTGCTTCTAGGAATCTAGGATTGTTTTTCAGCCACTCGACTGCAAAGTACGTTTGAAACCGAAACGTTAGGAACGGGATGAGTTGACTGCGGAAAGATGAGACTCTGACAATTATTATGGAAACCAAATCGTCATGACAAGGTAGATCAAGCGTTCCACCTTGAAATCCATGGTTTGGAAACAGAGATGCAAATCTCTGCATTTTTTCTATTGTCGAGTAAGCTTTCTACTAATGGTGTAATCCTTGTTGTGGCTGACCATCAAACCAAGTTGCCTGTCTTCTGGGCGCTTGGTTATCTCCGGGTTCACAGTGTATCACATTTCATTCATATTTTCCTGTGTTTGAATCAATCTTCCATTGTCACCCTCGCCTAGAAATTTTGATCCGCCATGCATCTCAGATCGGATATGCTGGACTGTACTCATACAGTACTAGGGACGAAACCTTCTTGCAGTTGAATTGTTCAGTCCCGTCTATATAAGAAGCATCGATTACTCTTGTCGTGCTCATACACTGAAGATGGCCAACCATACAGCTCACTACGAACTTTCTCATAGCCTTCTCGCTCGTTCCGATGTTATAGATGTCGATCCGAGCTTGGCGCCACTTTTCTTCTCAGAAAACGTTGTCTCAACATACTTCGGCGTGGCATTTTTGACTGTCATACTCTACAACGCTAGTAAGTGTTCTGATCCTTTCAATCAATGACGGTCTGACTGACAAACAAAACAAGTTACAACTATTGACAAAGAGGTATAGCAAATAAGCAATTAGCAATCGTAGCCCGTTTCTTCAGCACTCACTTATATGTACATCTTCAGGTAAAATATATATGGGTGAGTATAACACCCAGTACTATTGCTCCATATCTCACTATTTCAATGAAGAGCAAGCCTACCAGCTCAGCAAGTCTGATTTATTTCGCGGTAAGAGACAGTTATTTATAGTAGTGGGTAGGATTATTCTGAGCCGATACGTGAAAGAATCGTTACATCGGGATTTTTGGATATACTTGCAATATAGTCGGTGCGTACTATTGATGTACTCTTTGGTCTTAAGCAAAGCAAGTAACATGTGTGTTATATTGCAGAACAGAGCTTCCATGTAAATCTTTCGAGGTAGGTAGCAAACGACATTGACAAAGTGTGTACTGACGGCAAATCCAAACGTACATCACGTATAGTTGTATGTTGAGTCTTCTCACTACCCATGAATAGCACTGAATCAGTAATTAGGCAAGATGACTATATGGGCCAATGCTTTATGCAGTGAGTGGCTTAACGTCGTACAACATAATAGCTGGTTTATTCTATCGTCAGATTTCATGATAGTCGTGCTAATCGATTGTGAGGAGATTCTCCGATTTGTCGATAAGAAGCATTACATACTCATAATTATTCTCAGATATTCTACTACTTCGTGTATTGCCGTTATACGACCAGAGTGCGTGTCTGATACTCTCAAACTTGAGTTTAGTCTGAATTCTCGGCAGGCAAGAGGCTTTCGATTTGCCTCAAATTACTTCTTACGGCAGAAGTATGCACTGGCCTTAGCATACTTATTTATGGGACTTCAAAGCTAGGCAGTAAGGTTTTCCAATGACCTTTTAAGTGTGAATGTCAAATAGGCTAAGTATCAGCTAAATTTAGTTGTTGTTGGACGTCTTGCACCTGGTGTTCAATTTTGCGCATTTGATAATGACCCTGTGCAGATCCTGGGAATTATCTCGTGGTAAGCGGTTCGGCTACGTGCCTTGGCTCAGATTGATTTGGCATAGGATTGCTCCTATGACATATGGAACGATCCTGCTATGCCTTGCTCTCTTCAAGAGTGCTGAGTATTGGAGAATGTCACATGGCTTCAAAGGATTTCACCTTGTAAAGGTTCTCATTCAGGACCAGATATTATATTTCGGCTTGTAAGTAGTTATTTTTTGCAGACCGAGCTGTAAGCTAACCGAACCAGCGTCATATTTTGCTGTGCAACACAGATAGCTGAACTTACAGTTCGGGATATCAGTCAGGTCGCTTCATATATACTGAATTCCGTCGGAAGCCTGTCACTTCTCTGTGTCCTCGGATGCCATCTTCTAATCAATCTGAAAGAGGCGGCCGAGTGGGGAGTGAGTGAGGGGACTAATTATAGACCGAGCTTAAAGACTGTAAGCAACATTGGATTTGTCGAAGGTGTTTTTATTTTATTTTATTTTTTTCGTTTTCATTTTGGCTGACATACCTCAGGTTTTCCAGTAGTAGTTTCCAATGATGAAAGCACGTCTAGTGTTTGAGAAAATGATGTCTATGGATTAATTGTCCACTTGGTTACTATTTATTCTTCAGAGTTTCTCCTATTATATATATTTGCAGCTGTATTCAGATGGTTCATCCTTTGCTTGCTTATATACATATACTGGCACTACCTATTTCCCAGTGCATGATGTGTATCAGGTGTCTGTTTGTTCTTGCAATATATCCTTTACCACCCTTTGTTTATTCTCTTACTAGTTTGTCCTGCACTCTATACAATGTACTTTTCATAGTGTTCAACACAGCTTTATTTGTACTGCCAAAAATGTAGAATCATTAAGTATGGATATATACTAGTAACTATATTGTGTAAGTGTGCTGTCCTCCTTGTCAATACAAGGATTTTGTTCTATCAGATGTGAGGGCGAATTTATTCAACTTTGAGCTGTGCAGGATCTGATAGAATCATGATTAACAGAGAAGGTAGGGATGACTTTTTGTACAAGATCGATAGTGAACAGAGAGTATCTTTAGCAAAACTTCAGCTACCCAACTACAAAGTATGTGAAACTGAAATGTGTAGGAATGAGATGAACTCTGTATCAATGTCTCTAGGGTTTCTAGAGTTAACATATGAAAGATGCATCTTTAGAAGCTATTACAGGCAATAAATTACTATCATGATAGTGGCTCAGATTAAGCTTCCAAGCTTAGATCCTAGTTCAGTACTGTAGAAACTTTGAGCATAAGTTACCTCTTTAGAACAACCCTACTCTATTTCTAGAGATTGCTTAATCATTGTAACAATAGAAGTTTGATAGTAAGCTCTTATTATAAAATAGTAATATATATTAATCTCTCTCATATAATTACATCCCCTTCTATACATTCTTGGTTGTATAATATACAACTATTATGATTCATAATGCCTAGAAACATTATGCTAGTATCTCTGAGTTTGAATCACTGTATGTTAAAATCCTATAAGAGAGTCCTAAGATACATCCTATTACATACACTCCTCTCTCTATAACAAACCAGACACTTGACTACAGATATCTTCACACTCTTTGTTCTTGTACTAGGGCAGGCATCAACCCAGACTTTCTACAGTCCTTCATCTCTATACACATTACTCAGAAATTTATTAACATAGTAGTGTTGACAGTCCTAGTTTAAAGTGGTTGTATGTACTTTGATTTCTACAATAAAACTTATTAATTAATATAAAACAACAAAAGTCACAACTTTTGACAAAGAGGTACAATATTTATGTACAGTCAAAAACTGCTCCTTTAAACACAACTGTTCCTTTAAACAGACTGTAATATCTTACTCAAATCTTAATATTATTTTATGAAAATTTAATACAAGGTATTACTATATGACCCGAATGTATATATAAGATTTGAGAGAAATTGAGCAAGAAATAAAATTAAGAAAAATCAGACAGTTAAAGAATTTAGTAAAATTGTCCTGTAGTAAACTTTGCAAATTTTCTGGTGATATTTCTATTAATCCAATCAAGTTGAAACTTTGCATATATAATTATTAGTATCCAAAATATACAATTCTGCAGTTTTTATTTTAATACACTGAGTTGTACAATTTATTAAAAGTAAACATTAAGAAAAGTCAAGAAAGTGTGACAGAGAGAGAAATGATTGACACAATAATGTAATTTGCCAAACCTTTGTGTGAGAATCGTGTCAGAGCATTTGCCATACCCTTGCTAATAAATTAGTGTTTTTTTACTCTTTTTTTTCTACTTTCTCACTCTCTATTCTGCTTAGTACACTATGGTTAAGTATGCTAAGTCTAAATCTCTAAAAAAAGGGAGGAATTGGAGGAAAGGGAGAGGAATATGGGTCAAGCAGTTGAGGCTTATCAGTTAGACCAAAAAAAGCCCTGGAGAGAGTATCTAGAACTAAGAGGAGTAGCTAGTATATTTAAAGGGGTTACAGTTGGAACATTAAGGAATAGGGTAGTTGGAATAAAGTCTATCCTAGAGTTTAATACTTCAAAATACTGTTTAATGAAGGAGGACAATCAGGCACTTACAGAACTTATTTGGATCTCTTCTAATCAAAGCTGCCCATTCAGTTATAATAACATTGAAAGGGCAGCTAATCAACTCCTTGAAACACAATATGGTACAAGTTACAAGTCTGTAGGACCTACATTTGTTCAGAGATTCCTGGAGCATCATTATACTAAGCTAAAAACTTACTAGAGTTCTCATCTTGATACACAACAAGCAAATGGCCTAAATCTAACAGCTGTTAGTAAATGGTTTGACATTCTGGAGGAGGAAGTAGTTAAGAAGAGAGTCTTACCTAGGCAAATATATACTATAGACAAAACTGGTTTCTCACCTACTAATAATACTGTTAAACAAGTTATTAGAGCTAGAAGGAAGAAGATTCAGTATAAAAGTGGAGGTGGAAACTAAGAAAACATTACTACTATTGTTACCATCTGTACAGATGGAACATACACTAAGTCTGTTACTATCTTTAAAGGCTATAGTGTATAGTCCAAATGGACAGAGAACAATATAGCTAATGTAAGGTACATACTTATACTTCTTTATAAGCTCTTGCTTAACAAGAGTAACAGGTTCACTAGCTCTCCAAATGGTTGGACAGACTGTAAAATAGTACTAGATTGGTTCACAAATTATTTTGAGCCTAAAACAAGAGAGAAAGCACATGGACACACTTGAGTTCTTATTGTTGATAGTTATAACTCACATTATTTGTTTGAACTGCTAGAAGTAGTAGTTCAACACAATGTTGTACTATTAGAGTATTCTCCTTACTGTACACATACTCTCTAGTACCTTAATATAGTTTGCTTTGTATGGATGAAACAAATTTAGCAAGACATAGTTAATGATTTTAAGGTACAAATGCTATGAACTGTTAGGAAGCAGGATTTTCTTGGACTTTTTAGAAGGAGCTTTTTACTTGCCTTTGATTTACAGACTGTCTAGTCTGCCTTCCAAGTTACTAGAGTTCATCTGTTTAACTGTACTGTTATTACAGGTGATCAGATAAAGCTGAGTAAGGTGTCCTCAACATTATTAACCTTTCTGTTACCTCTCACAACTCCTGTTTGCTAGATAATGGCTGTATATTACTATTAAAAGCTTACAGGCTTTAATGTTAACATCTTAACACATATTCTAGCACCTAGCCACACATACACATTACTAAGTAAGTAGACTAGTTCTTGTAACAGTAGTATTATTATGTACTAGTCTACTACTCCTACTATTGATCCATCCATTAATCTGTTACTCTTCACACTCTCAAAGCATATACAGTTAATGTCTTTGTCTCTAATAGTGTTAAAATTAGTAAGTTTTCTAGTCTTAAAAGAGTATGTTACTATAAAGTACAATCTGTCTCCACCTGTACTAGAGAGAGTCTTAGACACTCTTGGGACTCTTAATTGGAAGAAAGTAGAAGGATGCTTGGAAAGGCTATTAGTAAGCACTTGTTTAGGTAAAGACATTACTGAACTTACTAAGAACCTAATCCAGACATGTTAGTACATACAAATTAACTAGAGTATTACTAAGGGTGCTCAGACCTAGCTTGTACTTGCTACTATATATAATACAAAGCTACAAGGAGTACTGAATGAGAAGGAGAAGGGAAAAGGAGTAGAAAATGTATGCATCTTTAATAATAGAATGTCTAAGATCTTTACATCCTAACAGGCCTGTAAACAGCTCAGACAGTGTAGGAATGTAGAGGAGAAGGAAGAAATGCAGGTCTAGGCACAAAAAGATAAAGCTAGGAAGAAGAAAGACATTAATGAAATTATTAAGAAGGAATAGGAAAGGGTTAGAATGTACTATTAAGTAGAAACACAGAATTAGCTAGTAAGATGTACTTAGTAGGAAGAAGAAGGCCTCCCTAAAGTATATTAGGATCCTAGACTAACTTGTTTGACAAAGCAGGAAGTCTAGAAATAAGTCCTTGAAGCACAGGAGAACAAGATGACTGTATATACAGAAGTAGTGTCTGGATGTAGTGAATACAATCTAGACCTGTATAGGTGTAATGTAAGATGGATCCAAGAGTTCTAAGAGTTACAGGAGTAAATAGAAATAAGCTAGTAGCTTTCAAGAGGAGGAAATTTTGTACAGAGAGAGACAGGGGCTTAGGAGGAGTTGGTAGGATAGTTAGAGTGTGCTAGTATGACAAGAGTTACAGTCTGTTCAAAGGAGTACTTTTTATAACATTTCCCTCATTTTTTCTTGCCTCTCTATTAATTTTTTAGAGCACTCTATACCTGTACAATTTTTACATAGTATACTAATCATAGTCTAGAATGTATATAATAGAAAAAAACAAGAAAAATTTTGTATAAATAATTATACAGAGGGTTCAAAAGGTTGTGTTTAAAGGACTAGTAAATGCCTGTATTGTTTTTATCAGTTCAACATATACTAAGCTATCTATAATTTGTAGATAAAATACTTTTGGGTGAGCTTAATACACAAGTATATAACACTGGATCTTAATATTTACAATAAAGTACAAGCCATCTAACCCTATAAGTCTGATTTATTTTATAGTAAGTAAAGTAAAAATATAGTAATAGAGGAATCCCTTAAATTTATAAAGTGTAAAACTGTTACATTAGAATCTTTAGAGAGGTTTGTACTATAATAGGTAAGTAAATATAATAGGATTCTACCAACTTGTATAGAACAATAGTATATTCATGTTTATATAGTTAAAGATTTGTATATGAATTGTATAAGGTAGGAACTCAAATAATAGTATTACATTATTAAAACTGTGCTCTGACTGTAAATCCAAACACACATTTCTTATAGTTGTATATGGAATTTGTCTGACTAAATAATAAGTATTGTATACACTAATGTAATAACTAGGTTGGATGACTTTGTAGGCTAGTGTCTTGTATAGTAAGTTATCTAGTTTTATTAATTCTACTATTACTTAGTACTATTGTTAGACCTTACTACAGTTGTATTAGTAGCTTGTAAGAGAATTCCTCTGATTATATTCAAAGTTTTCACTATGTATTACTAAGTACAGGCATTCTTCAAGTCTGTATATTAGTACTTGTTACAGTTCTCTACTCTTACACCTTCAGTTCTGAGGGTTCTACACCCTTCTGTACCAGAACTTAGGACTTCTGTCCCTCAAGAGTACTGTCTATAAACTATATACAGACTGACTCTTACTACTACCCCTCCTTACTTTATCATTCTGTTCCTTTAACTACTCCTTCATTCTTTGTACCTTTATCTTTGACCTTCCTTTCTTTCATTCTTTGTAGCTCATCATTCTTAGTAGCTTATATTCTCTGAGTACTCTTGTATAGTTTAGTATATATAGGTGTATAAGATCAGACTAGTCCTATAGTCTTAATCTTGTCTACTCTAGATAGTCCTGTACTCTTAGGCTCACTCTATATACTCTACTCTTGTCTCATTCTCTCTCTCTGTCTGTTCTACAAGTTCTGACTATATTCTAGTACTTGTGTTCTGTATTTCTGTTGTGTAGGATAGTTGTAGCCTAGGTCCCCTTACTAAGCCTTTAGGTCTCCTCTATACTGTTACTAACATTAAATCAAGACTACTCATTACTACCCTACAACTCTTCTACATTTCAGGCATTAGTATTTACTATTGTATTAATCTCTTTTCTTTGTCCTAACCCTTTTACATTTTTAAATTTTAAACTTTCTAAACTCTTTTAAACTTTTACTACCCTTCTTTCATTCATTATTCCTTCTAGTTTAGTGTTGATTCCTTTATAGTGTAAACATGGACCCTTCTACACTGACTGCTACTCCTACTGTCCTGCCAGATTAGTAGTTACAAGCAGACCTAGCTTAATATGTGTAGACCTCTATCTAAGAGGCTTTTACTAACTATGTACCTCTAGCTCTCTTAGAACCTGTTCTAATTGTTTTAGAAGTTGTAACCTGTTCTAGAAAGAAAGTGTATGTAGTCTACCCTTCAGACTTTAATAGGTAGCACTTTAAGGACTTTCAGTACTAAGTTGAACTATATATAACTACTACTTTGACTAATTTATTCTTAGATCTTAATTGTGTCCTATTTGTCCTCTCCTTTATGAAGGAAGGTAATGTAACCACCTAGGCCTAGAACTGGATTAAAGGACATTAGATTAGAAGCCTGATCTGACTTCAGAATAATGAGTTATACTCAGAATTTATAGAGTAGCTCTGTACTTCCTTTATTAATCTAAACAAAAAGTATAATATACAAAGTAAGCTTGTATCTTTGTAACAGGGCAAACATTCCACTAATGCCTTCTTTCAGGAGTTTGATATCCTAGCCTAGAAGGTAGGATTCACACTCAGGTTTAATAATGTTCTTATTAGAATGCTTGAAAAAGCTCTCTACTCAGAATTAGTTAATAAGATTCTCAGAATAATACTAGAACTAATTACTTACACTGAGTAGAAGACCTGTACTATTTCCTTTGACTAAGCTACAGTTTGAATATGTCAAGTCTGTGTAGAACACTTACACATACATCTGACTCTGACAGTTCCAAGCCCTTAGATTAATCTACCTATAATTTACAATTAATCTGTTCTAATAAACATTAGAGAAGCCTAAAAGTAAGGAGTATACTTTGCCTACAGAAAGTCAGGGTACTAAATTAAGGACTGTCTATAGAAGTGACAGTATATCTGTCAGGTCATTAGAGTAATAATGAGTGACAAGTAGGATTTGTAGTAAGAAGCCTTTTCTACAAATCCAGAAGTTATCTCAGAACTCCTAAACTCTAACTACATACTTTAGGATTTTATAGAGGCCTAATAGTGAATGTAATACTAAAGGGCTATAACTCAGATTTTTTAACAGCCACTTTTGATTCAATAGACACTGTAGGATTAGAAGTAAATAAAGTAAGAAAAGTAGAAAAAGTAGAAAAAGTAAATCAACAAAATTATTTATTAAAAAGGAAAAAGTCAAAAACAAAAGTAGATAGTTCTCTTATTTCTTCTGATTCTTTTGATTCTTCTTATTGTACTTTATTTGAGTCTAAATCTATACAATCTGACCTACTACTTCTGTATTCTAAGAACTTAGAATGTTCAGAATGTTATCTAACCCTATTTACTACTCAGTAGTTTGTTTATAGTATTAAGTAGGGATAGTCTTAGTTAAGTTCACAGTTAAGGACATAGGTCTGTCCTTGTTGAAAGAGAGAGGTTAATAAGGAAATGTTAGTACATATACTTACTCTCTCAGACAATAAGACTGTACAAGCTATACATTCTCTTCAGAACAAGTAGCAATTTATTAGAGAATGTTCTAGACACTAGTTCTAAGTCCCTGTCCTCTTAGCTCTCTTCTTAGAATCCTTTCAGATCTGAACAATAACTCTAGTAGATAGTAGATGTACTAGTTTGTGTATTAATAAGGCCTTTGTGTAGAAACACTACCTCCCTACTTAATATATTCTACTTCCAATCCTAGTATACAATATAGACAGAACTCTGAAGTAGAATAGTTGGGTTACTAAGTTTGTCCAACTACAGATGACTATTCAGGATTATAAGGAAAGTATTAAGTTTAGAGTTACTAACCTTAGAAAGACAGACATCTTTATTAGGTTTGAATGGCTCAAAGCTTACAACCCTACTATTAACTAGTTAGAGTAGACACTTGTGTTTAATCAGTGTCCTAAGTCTTGTAACTATCTTATACTACTGTCCTAAGTAGATATAGACACTCCTAATGTTACTAACAGTTCTGATAAAGGTGACTAGTTATTCTTCTTTAACTAGGATAGATATATAAACACATATTCTAGTCAAGGTGGAACAGAGTCAATCTAAAGAATGTCTAAGACAGAACCAGTCTAGAACCTACTCAGAACAACTCTACTCTAGAACACACATAGACTTAGCCTGCTAGATTTTGTCTGAGAGTTTTCTAAAGTCTTTAGTAAAGAGGAATTTGACTAGCTTCCTAAACATTACTCTTAGGACTATACAATTAAATTGACTAAGAGCTTTCAACTCAAGAATTATAAGGTCTACCTGCTCAACAAAGATGAGTAGGAGGTGCTTAACAAGTTCCTTTAGGAAAATCTTTAGAACAGTCAGATCTGACCCTTAAAGTCTCTTATAGTCTCCCCTTTCTTCTTTGTCAAAAAGAAAGATAGGAAGCTCTACCTAGTTCAGGATTATTATTGTCTTAATAAGAGTACTATCAAAAACAAGTACTTACTCCTCCTGATTCAGGAGCTCATTAATAAGACACATACATTCAGGGTTTTTACTAAGTTGAATGTTTGATAAGAATACAATAATATTTGGATCCAAGACAGAGATAAGTAGAAGGCTGTACTTTAAACCAATTATAGATTGTACAAACTAACTGTAATGTTCTTCAGACTAACTAACTTGTTTACAACATTCTAGTCATTCATGAATCACATCCT